TATGGTGATTTAGCAGAACACAGGAAAGCAAGAAAATGTGTCATACTTATACCAAATTAAGGATTTTGAGTTATGTTACTAATGTATGCAACTTTAATTTTGTTTAACACTATCTGCCAAAATAAACTTTATTCCCTATAACTTAAAATGTGTATATATATATAATAGTTTATTATGTACAGTTAATTCCACTGTTTTGGCTGCAATAAAATCGATTTTGAAATAAAATGTTGAAAGTAAATTTTGCTAGCTGGTTAGAAGCTTATACTTTAAATTCTCCTTTTCTTGAGGTAAAAAGTCTTTGCCTGGAAATACATATTACTGCAAAAATGTAGCATCCTTTTTTTAGATATGAGTATTACAGCTATCATTTAGTTTTACATTTAGTGTCTCAATGAATTGGGTTTCAAAGATGAATCACAATCGTGAAATTCTTTAGCACTGAAGTCTTAGAATATTATTAACAACTGACTTACATATCCAGATGCTATTTGATACCAAGGGCTTTTAAAATCTCATTTAAAAAAAAAAACTTGGAACTCCCAACCAAACAACTAAGATTCCTCACTGAGGCTTTATTGCAATTCTAGAGCTATTCATTTTTTTCACCTAACTTCATTACTCTAAAGCCTAGAACATTATTCTGCTTTATTTATATGGTTTTCTCATTTTTATTTTGTAGCATGAGTTCCATTGACTTTTTTACTAGAGAATTTTACTAGATCTTTGTCACTCAAGTTTTCATCTGCTTTACAATTGATATACCTTGAGGATCACTTTTCTAATACTTTTACTACAATGTGGTACCACCTCAGCCCTAGTTAAGTAATATTTTTACCTAATGTCAAATCTTTTTCCAACTAACTAAAAGTAAAACTTATGTACAAAAGGATTGCTTGTAAATATGCATGTAAATAGTTCTGTTAATAACCCACTGTTGTACATTTGGTACATCTGTGTCTGCTAATACAGTTAGCTTTCTCACTTTTCTCCTTGTTTGTTCAGTCTGGATTAAAATTAGACTTTGGAAATAAAATTTAAATAGCTTTGTTTCCTCTAAGTTTTTTGGAGTGGTATCTGGTATTTTTAAATAACTTGTTGAACATGATGATAATCATTATATGATACCATAAAATTAAGGTTTGAAATCAGAGAAACTGTGCTAGGATAGAAGATGTTCTGTTCAGAGTCTGTTGAATAAGAAGTCAGTTCAATAACAAGTCTACCTGGGAAAACTAGCAAATATAAAACATTAAAACTTTTAGATACCTTATTGTAGAAGGGAAGTATATATATATATATAATTGGGGATTTCGGAAATTATAATAGAATTCTTTTTTCAAAATGGCTGCTGTAACATGGTGGCTATTACCTTAATCTACAGTTCTCTAAAGACTGTTTCCTGTAAAGCTTACTGTCAGTCGCAGGGGTATAAATCTCAGGGAGGAAGAGGGTGTAGGGAAGGGGCAGTACCTTGGACCAGGGCCAACGGTATGCTACCTGAATATGCTTTAAACTTCTGGTTGCTCTGTGAATAACCATCCAGTTTTGTCCCCTAGCTTATTGTCTCCAATCACTGCTATACAGTCATGCACCACGTAATGACAATTTGGGCAACAATGGACCACATATATGACAGTGGCCCCAAAAGATTAGTACCATATAGCGTAGGTGTGCAGTAGGCTATAACATATAGGTTTGTGTAAGTATACTCTGTGATGTTTGCACAACGACAAAATCGCCTAACAACACGTTTCTCAGAATGTAGCCCAATCATGAAGTGATGCATGACTAAACTCACACTAGCTACTGACAGGATCAATATATGTTCCAGTTACTAGTGCTGCTTAAGTAACCACTCAAACTTAGTGTCTTCAAACAATAAGCACTTTATTATGCTCATGGATTTTGTGACTCAGGAATTTGGACAGAGCACAGTAGGGATGGGTTTTTCTCTTCTGCAGGGTTTGAGGCCTCAGCTGCGAAAACTAAGGAGTAGGGGTGGCTTGCAGCTGGGGGCTGCAATCATCTGGAGTCTTCTTTACTTGTGTCACTGACATAGCTGATGTCTGGGCTGAGATGACTTGAAGCAGTCACTCAACCAGAACCACTTACACGTGGCCTATCTATATGGCTTACTTCTCACAGCATGGTAGCTAGATTTTGAGAGGAGATATTGCAGAAGACCCAGCAAGAACTGCCTTAGGAAGCTGCACACAGCCATTACTTCCACCACAGCCTTTTGGTGCTAAGTGAGTCTAAAGCCACATCAGGAGGTCATCAAGGAATATGTGGACATACTTTAAAACTGCAAAAGTCATACTGAAAGGAAGAGTTGGCCCTGTGCCACAATTGTTGGCCTTTACGATTGCTATATCTTCAACAGAAACATAGGTCATTCAGTCTTTTGTCGGGATTATTAGTACAGGTCTCCAATGAGCAAGGACACAAAGGTTCCAGTGAATGTCATTGTCTTCTGTTCTGGCAACAAAGTGAAAATATTGGTTTGAACCTGGCAGTCATGTCATCAACTCAGGCCCTTTGTCTCTGTGTTATCAGTGCCCTTCCATCCAAAGACTACTAGGAGCACGCCTGTACCTGAATATTTTGGGTTTAGTACTTGTCGCAGTAAGGCAGAATATACACCATGGGGAACTGTGGGGTGTCAGTAAGAGGGTGTTAGAAAGAACCTATTATAGGATTTGGGCTTTGGATAATTTGGGAGAGGATCTAAGAAACTGGAGGTTCACTGTGGATTGGATTGTCAGAAAGCAGGCAATTCTATGAGTAGGTATTTCATTCAGTTTTATCTGTAGGAAGGACAGATAGGTATGGATTAAGTTGTAATTTGTTAAAAAATCAGTCACATTTAGCAAGAGGGAAGATGCTTGGTATGAAAGAGTGAAAACCTGTCCAGGACTGAAGGATTGAAAATCGGTTCCAACTGAAAAATCAAAAAGCAGCCCTGCCATTTATCAGGCCGGGAGGACAGGCACAGATAAAGCCAGCTGCCAAGTCAACAGGAAACATTGTTTCGTCCAAGGTCATGCAGCAGCTATAGAATGCCAGCACGTCCCCCTCTTTGTGTGACCACAGCTTTATTAGCAATGAGGCCCCCAGACATGCTTTGCTATCCCCATCCATCTATTACTGGGGATACCCAATTACTAAACCACTCTTGGCTCACGGCAGCACCCAGTCCCTAGTTAATCCCTGCCTCTCCTTATCCCGCTGCAGAAACAGCATCCAGCCGGCACTGGTCCCCCTTCCCTTAGAGCTTCCTCAGGATCCTTCAGCAGGAACCCAACATCACCAAACATGGCACCCCCGTCCCCTTGTGGATCACGCCATCCACGGTTCCCCTGGAGAGTGTTCTCTTGCTTTCAACCCTTTCAAGGGGGCAAGATCTTTCCTTTGAGCCTCAGGGCTCTAACACAGGCTGTTACCTCTGCTTGAAACACTTTCCCCCCTACTTTACGTGGCTAACACCTACTTATCCTTTGGATTGCAGTGAAAATATTTCCCCAGCATAGGTTAGGTCTGCCCACTATATGCTCTCACAGATCTCTGTATTTTATGTTAGGAACACTTACCACAACCGTGATCAAATTATTGTCTAATCGTTTCTTTCCGGTTATGCTCTAGTCCCCATCCCCAAACCCCAGGAACTGGGTCTCATTCTCTGATTTATCCGCAGCATGCCTAGCACATAGTAGGTTCTTCATAAAAAATTGTTTAATGTCGGCGGCTCAGTGGCCGAGTGGTTAAGTTCGCGCGCTCTGCTGCAGCGGCCCAGGGTTCGGATCCAGGGCGCGGACATGGCACGGCTCTCAGGTCACGTTGAGGCGGCGTCCCACATCCCACAACTAGAAGGACCTGCAACTAAGATATACAACTACGTAACTAGGTACGGGGGCGGGGTTGGGGAGATAAAGCAGGAAAAAAAAAAAAAAGATTGGCAACAGTTGTTAGCCCAGGTGCCAATCTTTAAAAAAAAAAAAATTTGTTTAATGTCAGTAAATAAATACAGCACGTCTATTTGCTGTTTTAGGGGAAAAAGAAGGTGCAGATAGGTAGTTGAAAGACATTATTTTTTTATACCAAATTAGGAAAAAAAGAGGTCTCTATCTTCGGCCACTTTTTTTCTTTTTGAAGAAAACTGGCCCTGCGCTAACACCTGTGCCCATGTTCTTCTACTTTATATATGGGATGCAGCCATAGCATGGCTTGATGAGCAGCGAGTAGATCCCAACCCCGGATCCAAACCGGCAACTCAGACCGCCTACGCAGAAGGCGCGAACTTAACCGCTACCCACGGGGCTGCTCAGCCACTTTATTTTATTTTTCTTAACAGCTTTACTGTGGTATAATTGTTGTTTAGATTATTTAAATAAGCATCACTCCAGTAAAATCCATCCGTGTGGTTCTTTGCTGGACCGTCACAACGCAGCTCCTCACAGGGTTTAATTACAACCAGCTCACAACAGTTCCGTGTGTGGTACCGGAACTACAGACGGCAGAGAAAGCAACCAGATTCCGGACGAGGAACTCCCGCCTCCCCGACTTCCGGTCCCGCCCTTCGCATCGGCACGACGGGGTGTGGCCGCGGAGCAGAGGGCACGGTCAGGGCGGGACTTCCGGCTTTCTTCCGGAGGCAAGGAGCTTACCCGGGGTGCGGGAAGGTTTGAACCGGCGCTCTTTCCTGTGCTTTCTCTCCGGGCTAACAGCTGATGCAGCCGTCGCTTTCCCGCTCTTCGGACTTGACGGAGGTTTCGCCCAAAACACTCTGTGTGACCTTATTCCTCTGCGGTTGTGATTGTTTTTCTTTCATCAAGAAACATCACTTGTTGGTAATTTGTCAAATTCAAGGAATAGCCCCCCCCGAGAAGCAGTCGCGGGCAGGCGCAGACGCCGCGGGCGAGCATTTTGGCAAATTAAAGACAGGGTCCGTTGATTGGCCTCATTCCCAAGACTTTTAAGCTCAGAACGGCTGTGTGAGTGCAAGACCTTGGTTGTTGTTTTGATGAGGGTTTTCTGTAACTAGATACTGCATTTTGAAAAATGAGGTTCCCATGGATGTCAAAAACAGACTTGTGGCTTTTTGATCGTTAAACATACTCTGGTGTAATGTGTTGTGTGGTGAAAACACAAACAGAAATAAGGCAGTAGAGAGGAGGCTGAAAATGTGGGTTGGAACCAGATTATGGCTTTTAGTGATGCGCCAGAAACTTTAGACATTCCACTGTTTCTTGTGCATGCTTTCTGTTTTTAAAAAGACCTTGGCCAAAGATAGAAATCGTTTTCCAATAGGTATTAGAAAATAAAAGTTTTCCGTCTGTGTATCTGCACCTTTTTTTCCCTGAAATAGCAAGTAGACATCTGATATATATATATAGCTGCAATATAAATACATTTATTGCCATTAACATTTATTGCCATTTAACAAGTATGTAAACAAGTGATGTAAGGCAGTTGGTATGGTCTGGGTTGTGGAAAATTACCTATAGCAGCAATACTGGAAATGGATTGCAGAGGGGAAAAACTGGAGAAAGGTCCCAGACAGTTGCACGAGTTGAGGGAAGAGTTGATGGCCTGAAACAGAAAAAGAGGAGCCAGGTTCATGAGAGAGACTTACAAAATCAACAGTACTTGTTACAGGGGTAAGGAGGGGAATAGAGTGAGAGTCAAATTCTGCTAACATTGGCTGCTAACATTGAGTTGCCATAAACTCAAATTGCAAATTCAGGGAGAGCAAGAATTTTAAAATTCACTTATTTATTCGTTCACCGTTAAATAAATATTTATTCCACCCTTGTTATTTGCCAAGTATTGTTTTAGTTGCCAAAGATACAATTGTGAATAGGCAGAGGAGGTCCCTGCTCTGATTGAGTTTATATCTGAGTGGGAAAAGAAAGAGAGCAGGTGAATAAATAGACTCAGTTTTTATAGTGATAGACGCTTTGAAGAAAAGAAGATGAAATGGATAAAAAGTGATTGGGAGATTGTTAGGCACAATTTTAAGTGAGACAGTCAAGTCAAGCCTTTGAGAAAGTGATATTGGTGCTGAGATCTTACTGGTGGCAAAGAGCCAACCAAAGTGATGAGACAATGAAAGGACATGCTAGGCAGGAAGAACAGTGCAAAGGTTCTGAGATGGGAAAAAGCCTGTGTTAAAAACATTAAAAAGGCCGGTGTAGCTAAAGTGTCCTGAACAAGGAGAGAGTTAGGAGATGACATTTGAAGAGGTAGATGGGGCCAGATTGTGTAGCTGTTGTAGGCTGTGGTTAGGAATTTGGATTTTATTCTAAGTGCAAATGGTGGTCTATAATCCAGGAAGTAACCTCATTTTTATTTTAAAAGATCCGTCTGGCTGCTGTATGTAGACTGGACTTGAGAGGAAAGAGTGAAAGTGAAATTAGGGGATAATACAGAAGTCCGCTTTTGGTGCTAGTGCTTCAGTTCCATTTTAGTCATGTTGATTTATCCATGGGACAGGGATGTGAAGAGAGGTCTAGCAGGCAGCCGGAAGCTTTGGAAAGAGGCCAGGTAGATTTGGAAGTTCTCTAGAGAAAGAAAATACTTGAAGTCGTCTGAATCTCCTCAGCAGAGACCATATGGCTTAATACTATATTATAGTACATATAATATTAATATTATATCCTGACATATTCAACAAAAGATTATAGACCATGTCATATGTAGCTAATTACATACATTGAAAAGGGGTAAGATTTTTTTTAAAAGGGAGGGTGGGCATAACAGCAACATGAGTGAATATAGTAAGAAAGGATGAAATGGGAACTAAGGTCAGTCTTGATGAATCCTTCTTCTTGGTGAAGAAAAGAAATGATTAAAAACAGAGGTAGATGTAGGGGAAACCATGGCAGCCTTTTCTTTCTTTCTTTCTTTAAATAAAAGGCAGAGGAAGAGAGAGTTTGGTGCAAGGGAAGGTAGACAATGCTGTCACAGGTTGACCAGTTGAGTAGGATGAAGGCTAAAGTCATTGGATGTAGGAAGACGTTGGTGACCATTGTGAAACGATTTCAGTAGAGAGATGGAGGAGAAAGCTGAATTGCAATGAATTGAAGATTAATGGGAAAGAAAGTGGACAATGAGTGGATACTACACTTGAGAAGTTTATTAGTAAGAAATCTGGGTAAACTGGGGAAAGTGATATTTATGGAAAGTTATTTTTTTCTGTCAGGTGAAACTTGATCACCTGAGTGGTGGAAGGAGATAATGTCCTAGAAGGGGATGAGGTTAGCATTAGAAAGGAATCATAAGATTTGTTGAGCTCCTACAACACGACATTTGTGATACTGGGCACTGTCATATGTGTTGTCTCATTTAATCCTCATAACAATCCTGTTACTATCCCCATTTTACAAATAAGGAAACAATCTGAGGCTTAGAGCTGTGGAGTACTAATGGAACCCAACCCTCTAATTCCCCTTCAGTCATACCTATATGGAAAGCACAGGTGAAGATACAGAGTCATTTTACAGGTAGAGAAGAGGAAATTGGATTCAGAAATAAAGATGAATCAAAGACACTAGGAGATTAATTAGCTTGCTTAGTAGTGACATGGAGCTACTTCCATAATGCCAGGCTGGGGCGACAAAAAGCCAGGTATTTGGATTTCTTTTTCAGTGTTGTTTCCTCTTAGTTACTTTTGGTCTGCCTTTTGCATGCATTACAAATGATTTGCTGTATTCTTATTGCGATGGAATTTGTTCTTTGAAATGAGATACTGAGCACATAATTTACAGAAATTAAACTTCAGGAGAAGTAAAGCTGCTAAAATTATAAAGACAGTTATAACTGGGTGGGCTAGCCTCTCCCTCTAGGTTATCTTCCCACACAGGAGTCCGTAAATCCCAAAGGGTTAATCAAGGCATTAGTTACAAGGGATGTTAATTTCAGATCATTTAACAGTATGTAGTAAAATGATCACATTTTCTCCAACTAAAGTAAATGCAATGGCAATGTGTTTTGCTTATATTCTTAGAAAATGCATCCATTTATTTTGATATAACTTGTGTACATTAAGAGAACCATTTGGGCAACTGTGTTTCCTATTTCCATCAGTCTTCACCTTGGAAGGACATTTTATCCATAGTCATAGTAATGGCAGCTGAAGTGCGAATGGTGCTTTATGAAGATGATTCAGTGCAAGTACAATATGTTGATGGTTCCAGACTGCAGCTTTCTCCCTGTGGCTCTGAATTTTTATTTGAAAAGGCACCTCCTGTTTCAGCACATCCTTTGGAACAACCAGAAAGAATTCGCCAAAGGACACACTTTGTTATTAGCACTTACCGAGTAAGTAAACATGACACTTAACTCTTAAACAACAAATATTGTTGAGGTGGCCACAATATGGAAAGTAATTAGTATTCTGGACTACTGTCATTCTAAATTGATTCTCAAGTTAGTTTTTTTTGTGAGGAAGATTGGCCCTGGACTAATATCTGTTGCCATTCTTCCTCTTTTTGCTTGAGGGAGATTGTCACTGAGCTAACACCTCTGCCAATCTTCCTCTGTTTTATGTGGGATGCTGCCACAGCATGGCTTGATGAGCAGTGCTAGGTCTATGCCAGGGATCCAAACCTGCAAACCCAGGCCTCTGAAGCAGAGTGCATTAACTTTACCACCAGGCTGGCCCCTCAAGTTTTTTTAAGATTACATTTTGTATTTCTTTTTTGTAGGAGCAATTACAGCGAGCACTAGATTTTCGAAACTCTTCTGCTACTTGCCCTTTTTTATCTGACAGCATCATACCTTCTGAAAAAAAAAAGGTAATTTTTTAAACTTCATTTTTATAAGTAATATTTGAGAACAAGTAATTAGAAACAGGTAGTTTAATATTTAGTATTTTTCTTCATGACACTTGGGAATAGACACATTGCTATAGAATGCATAGGCCTATATATTACACCAGACTTGGGTGTTTTTATGTTCTGTATATTGATTGAGACACAAAAGTTACATAGTTCATCTCCCTGCCTTTTTCTTTATAGCCAAGGATTATACTCAAAACTTTTCAGATTGGTGACTTTTTGATTCTTGGAGGTGTCAAAACTAAGAAACTATGTGGCAAATTTTAGTAGGTTGTGTGTAGTTATTTGTTAATGTGCACTAGAGATGTGTAGTTACTTATGGGTATACACATTTTATTCTTTTTTTTGAGGAAGATTAGCTCTGAGCTAACATCTGCTGCCAGTCCTCCTCTTTTTGCTGAGGAAGACTCGTCATGAGCTCACATCCGTGCCCATCTTCCTCTACTTTATATGTGGGACGCCTACCACTGCATGGCTTGACAAGTGGTGCATAGGTCCACACCCAGGCTCCAAACCAGCGAACCCCAGGCTGCCAAAGCGTAACAAGTGAACTTAACCACTGTGCCACCAGGCCGGCCCCTATGCATTTTATTCTTTTCCTAAATTCTACTTTGAACTTTTAGGAGTAATAATAATAACTATCATTTATTGAGGGTTTACTGTGTGCCAAGAACTAGGAATGATATTAAAAATATTTAATAACACCAGTACGGCATGGGTACCTGCTGATCGAAATGGATGTCCAACCAATCAGAACAGGTACATTGGCTGGATATAAGCCCCTTTTCCAGGAAATTTTCTAAGTGGCAAAGTCAGGATTTGAACCCAGCCTGTCTGACTCTGAAGACTGTCTTTAACCACCTTCTGCCACCGTTATGTTGTTTGCCTGTCTACTGAGTAATTTTCTAGTATATTGTCTCATGGCAAAGGAGCCATGAAAAATTTTAAGCTGTGACTTAGACAACAAGGCTGATTTCCCCTGTATCTTTTGAGTAGCTTTATTCATTGAAACTCCGTAGCTTGCTGCTGATGCTGCCTTAGGATTAGTAGAAAGTCTAATTCTAGAAGGGAACTTTCTTAAATGACCAACCTTACAAACCAGCTTTGCCATCAGTGAATACTATACTAACATCTGTACACATAGATAGCACTGTAAATTTAAGACGCTTTCTTGACAATAGTTTTTATAAATTTAAGGTTTTATATAAATGGAAGTTGAAATGTTTCACTGTTGGCAAGATTAACTGATTAAAAGACCGTTATGCGACACCTACTGTTTTTATCTTATATGAAAAGATACGTCAGGCACTGTTAGCTGTTAGGAGTCTGTGTGCTATTGGTCAGGATCAATTTACCTTTGAGTAGTTCAGTTTTTTTAAATGTTACTCTTTTTTCTTTCTTTAAAGATTTTATTTTTCCTTTTTCTCCCCAAAGCCCCCTGGTGCATAGTTGTGTATTTTTAGTTGTGGGTCCTTCTAGTTGTGGCATGTGGGACGCCGCCTCAGCATGGCTTGATGAGCAGTGCCATGTCCGCACCCAGGATCCGAACCGGCAAGACCCTGAGCTGCTGAAGTGGTGTGTGCGACCGTAACCACTTGGCCATGGGGCTGGCCCCTAAAATTTTACTCTTTAAGTCACCTGGAATTTATTTCATTCCAGCATGCCAGGTGCTATCTAGGACAGATACTTTATCCGTGGTATTCTGTTTAGTCCATGTGATAACCCTTTACTATTTCCCAAATGCTATTCAATAATTTCAGTACTGTTTGTTAAATAATTCTTCCTTTCCCCCTTTGTTTTGAAAAGCTCATGTTATCACATGTAACACTTTAAGATATGAGTGGTCTATTTCTGTGTTCTCTGAGTTGTTCTGTTGAAGATTTTTATGCTAGTTCCATACCATTTAAGTTATGATTGCTTTTAATATAGTGCATTGTAGTGCTCATCTTCCCTCGTTTATGTTCTTTTTCAGAGTAGACTTTTGGGAGAGTCTGGAAATCTATTCATCTCTGATTCAGTGTACATTTTAAACAAAAATATTTCTAACACTAAATATGATCTGAATGATTTTTTCTTTTTCTTTTCTCTCATTTTTTGTCAGTGTGTATGTGTTTTACATATTTTTTTCTAAATGAGATAATATTATCAATATCAAACATTCTGTTGAAAATCTTGTATAGGTTGACACCTGGTTCTCCATTTTTCTTTTCTTTTCTTTTTTTTAAAGATTGGCACCTGAGCTAACACCTGTTGCCAGTCTCCTTTTTTCTTTTCTTCTCCCCAAAGTCCCCCAGTACATAGTTGTATATTCTAGTTGCAGGTCCCTCTGGCTCTGCTATGTGGGATGCTACCTCAGCATAGCTTGTTGGGCTGTGCTAGGTCTGTGCCCAGGATCTGAACCAGCAAAACCCTGGGCCGCTGTAGCGGAGTATGAGAACTTAACCACTCAGCCACAGGGCCAGCCCTCCATTTTTCATTTTATCTGATTGTAAACCACAAACAAAACTTTGAGCTCTCTTACACAATGTGTAAGTATCAAATGTTTGGGAACATTGAACTGTTAACAGAAAATACTCACCATCTCTTGTTTTCCCCTCAACTCAGCGTATCTTCATTGACGTCTCAGAAGTGAGATGGCCCAGTCTTGATACTGATGATGGCATGATACGTATGCAGAGTGGCACCGTGAAGATATCATCTTTAGACGGTCACGCGTACCTTTGCCTGCCCAAATCTCAGCAAGAATTTACAGTACAATTTTTGTGTAAAGTAAGCCAGAAACCAGACTCATCTAGAGTATTGTCAGAAAAAAATAATCAAGCCAAAAAGGACAAACCAGTTGAGAAAGCAGGCAAAATCTGTACTTATGGAAATTTATCAGGACAGAGACTGAAGAATAAAGAAAATGAACTTCATTGTCAGATCTTGAAACCCAGAGATCCTTTAGAGAAGAAGAGTTGTGTAAATGGAACTAAAGGGAGGGAGGAGCTGCCCTCGTCTGGTACAAAATACACATGTGTGTACACGTGGGTAAAGCAGTGCTGGTCTGTGGCCTCCTGTCCAGAGGAATGGAAATACCCTTTGTCTTTAGCACTTCGTTTTCATAATAAAATCAGCAATATGTCTAGAATTGATGTAAATATCACTCAGAGTGGAATTTTAACTTCTGATGTTTCAGAAGAAAGAGGAAAAGAGGTTTCTGTTCTTCCCAGAGCCCTGTTACTCAGCTGTCCTGCCCCACACCTGCACAGGTAATGAAGAATGACTTATTTGTCATAAAGCTTTTGTCAGAACTAGTCCTTACCTTAGGGTAATTTTTCTTGCTAAATCATCTGATACCATTCATAAAGGAAGTTCATTCAGTCGATCTAAAACTTTGCTTATAACTAGTAGTAAATAATTTCCCTAGTTAGTGTGTTGCTTGTGTTTCTTACTCTGTCCATGCATTGAATGTTGATGGAAGGCTATACGCTTGACACTTTGTAAGGCACAGAGAATATAAAGATGAATAAGACACAGGCCCTGCTTTCTAGGAGCTTAGAGCCTAGTGAAGGTCACTGTTGCTGAAAAGATTATTAGAGTGTGGTAAGTGATGGCATAGGGCTCTGTGGGAGCTAGCACAGAGGAGTATCAGCTGCTGCTCAGTGGAGCCCGTTACCTTGGTTACTTGGATCTGACAAGTTTACAATCGTGGGTTCTTTCTTTCATACCTTTCTCAGAGGCCACCCTTATCTTTGGTTAACTGATTATAAATATGTCCATCTTCAAAAGGGGTAAACATGGAGAGGCTTCTGGAGGGCTAGGTATAAACCTTTTATCTCCACTAATTGGTGAATAACCTAATGCTTATAGATTTGTGACATGAACTTTGTGTAAGTAGTGCAGTAATACTGGAGAATAGCTAACACAAAGCACTATGTGCCAGGCCCAGCTGTGCTTTGCCCATTTGACCCACATAATAATCCCATGAGGCAAGTACTATTATCATCCCAACTTTGTAGAGGAACCTGAGGCACAGAAATGTTAAATGCCCTGAGCAAAGTCCCACCGCTAGTCCTTGTAGGATTGGGATTGATCCCAGGTAGTCTCTGAGTACCTGTTTGTTATTTAAACAAAACATGGGAATGATTTTCAGGTTTGTCATGATCATCTAGTTAAAAGTGGAAATTCCAGTATTATAAGTACACATCAAAAGAGATTCATGCTTCTAAATTAACTACTGTTAAATAACTTGCCACTGGCCTTAGATTGAAATCCATTATCCTTAAACATGGTTGAACAGGCCTCCTGTTATCTGGTCCCTTCCTATATCCATAATCCTCCACCCTCTCACTACTCTTGCCCTCTTGCCTCTCACCACTCTTGCTTTCCCAACTCTTGCTGAACTGGACTTCTTGCAATCCTTAGAGTGCTTGCTCTAAGCCTCTCTGCACCTTTCTTCTGCCAGGAACACTCCCTTTATCTCTCAGCTCGCTAGCTTATGCTTATTTCCACATCTCAGCATAGGCCTTACTTCCTGAGGGTGGTCATCCCAAGGCAGGATTAGGTTCTTATACAATCCCGTAGCATCTAGGAACTCTTTCTTTATGCTCAATATTTACTATTTAATGTCCTTGCTAGATAGGAATCTCCATTGAGGGCAGTGACCATGTCAGCTTTTTTGGGTGTTATATCCCCAGTGTGAACAGTACAGTGCCTGGTTCACCATAGATATTTCAGTAAATATTTGTTGTTTGAATCCTAAATTTTAAAGTTAGTGAAACTGTTAATTTAGGTAATTGTGCTGATATTTAATAATGAGATTATTGAAAATACGTGGAAAAATAAGACATTTTTAAATTTCATTAATATGCTTTCATATTCATTTTTACTTTTCTTTGATCTAACAAATTAAGCAAGAAGTAAATTTGTTACAGCAGCACTGTGCAGACTTGTAAAGGTAATTTTGTTGAGCAACCAGAATCAATAGTTTGTATTTTGTCCTTCACAGGTGGAATTTTTGTGATTCGCTTTCACAGAGACAGTCTGAGGAAGAAGAATATTCCTATCCTGAACCAGTGAAAGTGGTTTGGTACCAGGGTATTACATATAGGTAAGGCACCTGTGTTGGAGTGGGAGCTATTTAGTGATGTTACAGAGGGGATGGGACTAGCCTTGCAGACAGACTCCCAAAGAGGACACAGTTTTGTCAGGGCCATTGTGCTCCTGTGTTTGGTCCTGAGTTTTACAGGTCTCAAAACTTAATTTTATGAGGGCACACAGGGCTCTTGTGACTAATTCACATTAACCATATTTTTGTGATAACTCCAAAGCCAGTGAGGGTTTACTTTTGCTAGTGAATGAAATACTCATGTCAGTTATTTAGGATACCCCTTCCAAGCATCAGTGGATCTAGTTGTCTGAATTAGTCACATCAGAAGGTTGCCTGTTGAGCATGGAATTAGAGAAGGTAGATAGCCTAGGTGGGTTTCGGCCTTCATTCACACAGCAAATATGCATCGAGGGGCTGCTCTGTGCCCACACCATTGCATTGTATTATCCCTGCCCCGCTACGAGTTACACCTCTGTAGTGACTGGAATACTAGTGTGGGCCAGACTCAGAGTTTTACTTCCATAAATAATGCTAGAAGAGCACTGTGAAATTTTTGTTTCTTGGGCCCTCCTTTTTCCACATGAAGACACACTCCCTTCTTAAAATATATTCTTCATCTGTTTCAATAAAATTGGCTTGGCTCAAGTTTTTATCCTTTCAGTACCCAATACCTTGATTATGCCTGGCTGCTCCAGGTACAGTCAATCTCTTAGGGATGGCTCCTTTTACATAAGCCTAATCTCTTCCATCAGCTATTGATTCTTCTTGTTTCATTATTAAAGAATAATCTTATTTTCAGGTTCTGGAGGTGTCATATTTAACTCCTATGCACTGGGCATTGTTTTAGTGACTATTTTGTGCCAGCTACTGTGATTGGCAGCGAGGATATCAGGATGATAAGACAAGATGCCAACTTCCAGAAGCTGAGCTTAATTGTTGAAATAGATGCATTAACCAATTCTTGTTTGTTCTGTTTATCTTTTGCAAAAAGATTAATTTAGCTGGTTGGGGTGCAGAGTATGAAACTATTAGCTTTTCTATATAGGCCAAACCCCATACTTCTTTGCTTTTTCTTTTTATAATGATTGCCTTCATGTATGTTTTAATCTCAATTAGAAAAAAAAATTTTTTTAATGATTATTTCTCTGCCTTAGACTTACCCATAAAAATGTGAACTCAATAGAGATTTATCCTGGAGATGGATCTATTTTCAAATCAGAAGGAGCATATTTTGGGAATTATTTTACATATTATTCCATTCAAGAAGGATCAGAAGAGGTAAGCTGACAATGAGATCTCAGCTTAAGAAGATTTTTGGTATATAGCTGTTTCTAAATAATTCTGAATATCTATGAGAAGTTTGATCTATATATATCATTACTTGCTACTACTCCAACACTGGCACAGTAATTATTAACCACCGTATTTTTACTGTATTCTCATACTGTTTTCTGTCATCCATTTGCCTAAGCAATTCGTGTTTAAATCAGAAGCTAAATTTCTTCTGTCATAGAATGTATCAGTAGAAAACACTGAAACCGGCAGCATTACTTTGAATCAATATCCTTCTTTGAATTAATATTTGCACATTAAAAAGCACATTCTTTTTTCCCCCACCATGTCATTGTTTGCACATTTTAAATACCTCGTAATTCCTAAATCTCGATCATACAACTACAAGTTGAACAAGATTGTTCTCTGTTGCTGAAAACAGTGAAACATAACATGATGGATTTAATATATCAGACCAAAATGTAATAATGTGGATGTTTTGTTAGTGAGTCTTAATTTGCTGGTTCCATCTTGACATTGGCATCCACCCATTTTTAGGGATCTCCATAGTATTGCATGGCTTGGCTTTGCAGGATGGAACATAAGTATGTTTTCTTTCTCCATTAGAGGGTGGAGTATTTGGGTGATGAGATTATCAGAGTTGCTAGGAAGAAGAGTTAAAACTAGAGCAGATTTTTTTTTTTTTCTTAAAGATTGGCCCCTGAGCTAACAACTGTTGCCAATCTTCTTTTTTTTTTCTGCTTTTTTCTCCCCAAATCCCCCAGTACATAGTTGTGTATTTTTAGTTATGAGTCGTTCTAGTTGTGGCATGTGGGACGCCACTTCAATGTGGCTTGATGAGCGGTGCCATGTCCAGGCCCAGGATCAGAACCACGGCCGCTGAAGTGGAGCACGTGAACTTAACCACTCGGCCACGGGGCCAGCCCCTAGATTTTTTTTTTAACTATGGAAAATTTCAAATATGCGAAAGTAGAAAGACAAGTAAACAGACTTAGTACATCTTCCTGGAGGTTCAGTTTTACTCAAAGGTGTTGGGGGAAGGGGTGAAAATTTTTATACTGAAGCAAACATCATGGAGTAGAAGCATGAGCTTTTGGGGTAAAACACAAAATTTCCAAACACGTTGTGCCTTTGTGGTGGGCTGCTTTGGGCTTCACTCTCACATGTCTGTGTTCATCACATTCCCTCTCCTCTGTCTACTTGAGTGAAAAGATTTAGAAACAATTGGCTGTCTTTTGGGGATAAAATTGTTTGCTTCTTACTTTAACCCATACTCCAAAATAAATTCCAGATGGATTAAAGAGCTAAATGTAAGAAAGCAAACTTTATGATGCTTAGAAGAAAATACAGAAGAAGAGTGTTTATGATCTTGGGTGGGGGAGGCCTTCTTAAGTACAATACAAAAAAACCAGAAAGCATAAAAGTTTGATTAGCTGGAAACTTTCAAACTTATATTAAATTTTAAATATTTAACTTCTCTTAAATTAGATAAAGTCAAAAAGAAAAGCAAAGGGCTGAGAGAAAATATTCTACACTATAAATCAGTAATAAAAACCCTAATAGAAAAATGAGTAAAGGATAAAAATGGTGAAGCCACAGAAAAGGCAATATAAATAATCCATAATATTTGAAAACATGTTCAACTTTACTACTTGCATCAAAGAAATGCAATTAAAAGAAATGAAAATGACATGACGTTTTTCACTCTGTGGAAAATTGTCGAAAACTAAAAAGGTGGGTAATATCTACTGCCAACAAGGGTGTGTGGAAAGGGCTGCTTTCATAGTGTCGGTTGGAGTGTAAATTGGTTCAGCGTTCATGAAGGACAATTTGATAATATCAAGTAAAATTGGCCAGAAATTCTTCTAGATATCTATTCTAGAAAAATATTAGCACATAAATACAAAGAAGCATGGCCAAGGATGTAGGTAGTGGCATTGTTCATAGTAGCAAAAAACTGGAAGCAATGTAAATGTTCATCAACAGGGAATTGGTGAAATAAGCTAAGGTGATCAGATTATGGGAATGCTCTGCAGCAGTTTGAAAGAATGAGGAAGATGTAGAAGCTTAAGAGGGAGAGCTTGACAGATCTCCAAGACACTGTTGAGTGAAAAAAGAAAGTTGCATAAGAACATGTAGAATGATATTTTTCGGGTAAAGAACAAAAAACAGACCCCAAACCTATATATTACCATATATTATACACATGTTAATGCACAGGGAAAGACGTATGCAGGTATACACTGAACTGAAGTGGTTACTTTGTGGGAAGAGTCTGGGATTTTGTGAGGGAGGAAGAGTCAGGAGGGACTTAAATCATATTTGTTGAACTTACTTTTTTTTCCCCAAGAGAAACATGTTGAAGTTGAGATGTCTTTGTGATAAGCAGGGGAGAAGCCCAGTAGAGACGTAGATATTCAAGTCCACAGTCCAGGATAAAAGGGGAAAGACTGTTGTTTGAGTACCTACTATATACTAAATTCTGTCCCAGGTGCATTCTTTACGTGTTATAGCTTTAATCCTCAGGACCGTCTGGATTGGTAGGTAGTATCCCCATTGCACAGATTGTAGTCACTGAGGCTTTCAAAAGGTTGTATAACCTGCCCATCATTATAGTTAGTAAGAGGCAGACCTGCAATTTGAGTTCAGATCTTCTGACTTTGTAGCCCATCTTCTCTCAGTGATGGTGAAGTATGGGCTACACTCTCTTGAGGTTCAAATCAGATCTCTGCCACTTCTTAGCCCTCAAGCCTCAATTTCTTCACCTAAAAAATAGTCATTAGTAGTTCTTATCTTTCAGAGTTATTTTGAGGGGTAAATGAGATCATACATGTAAACTGCATAGCACCTAGCACATAATATTTGTTCAATAAATGTTAGCTGTTGCTACTATGATTTTTTTTTTTTTTGAGGAAGATTAGCCCTGAGCTAATATCTGTTGCCAATCCTCCTCTTTTTTGCTGAGGAAGACTGGCCCTGAGCTAACATTTGTGCTCATCTTCCTCTACTTTATATGTGGGACGCTTACCACACCATGACTTGCCAAGCGGTGCCATGTCCACACCCAGGATCCAAACCGGCAAACCCCAGGCCACCAAAGTGAAACGTGCACATTTAACCACTGAGCCCCCGGGCCGGCCCCCACTATTATGATTTTTATGAACATAGCTTTGGACCCTATTGGAATCACCCAAGAAGAAATCAGGAACTCAGAAGAAAAGGCTGGAAACAGTTCTGGGAAACTCTAGCAGTAAAGAGTCTGAGAAAGAGGAAATTCAGAAGGAATAACAAAATAATTTTTTAAAGTTCAACACCCTGAGCTTGTAAATAATATTGTCTTCCATAAACTGTAGCAATAATTCTTCCCTTAGTAAAATATGACAAAATTCTATATTCATTCAATTAAAATAATTTTTAACCTATATAGCCAATTTTGTTGTAGTTGTTGTCTAAAGGGAAAAGTTTATGTGGTAAGTTTCTTGCTAATGTGTAGGAAAATTAGTTTGGTAACCATGTTAAGTATAGCTAAGATAGAAATTGGGCAGTAAGTTATAGGCTATTAGAATGAAACTTTTGAATGGGTAGGAGAAATAGGAAAATGGAAAAGTATCATAAAATACCTTTAAAAATGTACCTTTTATGGGCTTTAAGTTAAAATAACTGCTTGCCTTGTCACTATGTAAATATGTATTTCAAGAAAGAAATAACTGTAATGGCCAAAATTTATAATTAGTGAGATTTTTTCATTTTAAACTAATTTTCAGAGAGAAGAGAAAACATATTCAGTAAATAACCTTCCTCCAGATAGACCAGGAAGTCTGTTCTCTGTGCGTTCTCTAATTAAACAGGCAACCAGGTAAGTTCTCCACCTTCAACTGAGTCAAGTGTTATGTGTCTGAGATCTTGATACATTTTCTAGTGGTTGGGATAAGATTAAGAATTGGTAGGTACAGTGGAAATAGATGTCTTTGGTAAAATCTATCAACTTTTCTAATCTCATCATTTATAACATAAGGTAGTCACTATATCATTATAAGAGAACTTCTGGCTTTGAAAGTTAAAGTTAAATATGGAGGAACATCCATATATGGTGGGCAAGTGCTGGTAGGAAGTAAGTGACTTTTCTGTGGGTAAGTGTGGCATCATTACTGTAGCGTGCAATCAGGTTGAGGATTTGATGATACCTTTCAAATTTTCATTTCTTTATTAGCCTCAGAGTAATAAAGATTTCTAGAGTGTACAGAAGATGAAGTGTAGTTTGGTTCTTTGGCTCATATGTTTTTTTAATTCTCCTAATTAATCAATCTGTAGCACCCAAGAGAATGAAAGTGGATTGTTGAATTAAATTATTTATGTTTATAAACTTATGTCTAAGCAACTTCAAAGTGGATTTGAAGGAGCGGAATTTGTCTTTTGATTTCACACCCCCCCCCACTCTTAGACTATGCTAACCCTTTCAAGGGCTGCGAATCTATTACCTCTTCTAAAGGAGCACAGGAAAATGCTATTTGGAGTCATTTCATTCCTAAAAATTAGAGGAATAACCTTAACTAGGTACGATTAGCACAAAGGGAAGCAACAGGAGTAGTTCCCCTCTAAGGGCTTAAGGATTTCTGGAAGAAAAGCAGTCTGGACTGTTTCAGTGGAAATGAGTTACTTGCCTACAGTGTTGTATGGCATTGAGAATGGTTTGCTAGAATTGGAAAAATGCCATTATTTGCAAATGTTTAAGTAGTGTTTTTCATGTTCACAGAATTCTTCAACATTGTGCCAAGATGAGGCTTTCTTTAAGCCATAACTATCGTGTATGCTGCTGGAAAATGGTATCTTAAAATTATTTCAAAAGCAGGATATTTTTAAATTGTTTTACTCTTTGCATACATACTTCTAAGTTCAAATTACTTTCATCTAAGTCATGAGAAATTCTTTGTAGCATTAATATTGGTTTGTTCCGGAGAATATCCACTTAATAGATAAACACTGCAAAATCAGGCTTTTATGTTATACTTTTATTGTATATAGTTTGTTTTTGTTTCTTTTTTTTTAACAGGGGGGAAGGTCAGGGGAGTTGATTGAATTTGAAGTATCTTTTTATAATAAACCATGATGTTACTGTATTCTATTCTATTTCCCTAGCTGTAAAAGTAAATTCTTTAATTGTGATTTGGAGGAAGTGGTTCTCAGACTTTGCTTTCTGTAATTTCATTGTAAACCTATATATTGCTGTAGTTGCTAATTTTTGTTTATGTTCTATGTAAAGTTCAGAACAGAACGGTGAGTTTACAAAGATCTTAGAACTTAATCTGCTTGTGATAGACTCTTTTGGGTATCCACTTCTGGAAAAGTTGAAACATACATAAGGATTCCACAATATTCAACTTCTGAGTAAGAATCTGAGGTTGCCTCAGAGTTCATTAATCATTTAAATCTTATTAATGGATAACTATTTCCCGCTATTTTTATTTACTTGGTTTTAGGTACCTGGGATAAATGATAGCAATATACTGCCTGTGCTTTTGAGAGAATCTCTCATACCCAGCGTGGGAAGATTTCTTGCATACTCCGATGACAAAGTACATGCTATCTTTTTAGATGGCGTTACTCTAACCCTAAATTGGAATTTTGCCTCTTTTACTGAAAAGGGACAGGTGAGTGTACTTCAGACTGAAATACATTTTTTATTGCTTTTTAATCTGTGGAAATAGTGTTGTACTTTGTTTTCCTTGTTCTATCTTTGTTTTTTGAAGTATAAAATCTGTCAAGAGGCTTTACTGATCTCATTGGATTTCTAGCAAAAATTAGAAAAGTGTGACAAATAGTATTTTATAAAGGTAACTCCTTAGAGAGAGAGGGACTAGTACTTTTTTGCTTTTGATAATTATCTATATAAGAGTGGTGGTTAAATAATACGCATATCCCATGTAAAATATACCTTTTAAATTATTTAAAATAAATTTTTAATGATTTATCTACTTATTTTTTTAATTGATAAGTTAGAAAAGGGTTTTGTTTTGGGTTTTTTTTTCAGTTTTAGAATGATAAAGCTTACCTTTCCTCCTTGCTTCTTAAGGTAAATCGAGGCCTCCAGTTAGGTTGGTGTAAGTTAACTTTTCCTGATGGACAAGATCAGTTAATTCAAGTTGAACACCCTGGACCTTATGAAAGGTACTGCAAAGCAATTTTTTAAATTATTTTCATGTTAGTAAATAACTTTTAATTGACAGAGAGGAAACATAATAAACATTATTTACATGTTAAATCTTTTTTTAGCTTTTCCATGTGGATAATTTGAATGAAGTCATTTCAGCAGGTTTCAAAGTTTATAGTTATATTGGCATCTAGCATAACTAAATAGATCAGGTCAGCTTTAATCATTTCCATTTTTATTCAAGTGATTTTTCAAAATGAATGTATTACAGATATAACTGGTCAGCTCTCTAAACCAATTAACTAATTAATCCACTAACCAATTTGAAATAAGGTTTGCAAGCACAAATAAACTTCCATATATTTCTATAAGGTGGAAAGAAATTAGCTGATGGTGGTTCTTAAATTGGAGAAGAATCTTGAAATCAGCTTTTTATGAATATGCTTTTTCTCTTTTGGTTTATGTAATTTGTTATAATTATTGCACTTGTGATATTCTTGACATTTTAGTGATTTTACTTGAGAATCTTCACAAAAGAATTGCTTTCTTATCTCTTGAATTTATTTTTCTATTGAGATTTATTGCATTTTGGTCGAAATGCTGCAACACTCGTTGCTAGTTTGAATAATTTACCCCCAAAAAATAGTGTCTTTAGAAAACATTATTTTTTTTCAGCCAATCACTTTATTTTTTTTTAATTTATTTTTTTTTTGAGGAAGATTAGCCCTGAGCTAACTACTGCCAATCCTCCTCTTTTTGCTGAGGAAGACTGGCCCAGAGCTAACATCCATGCCCATCTTCCTCCACTTTATATGTGGGATGCCTACCACAGCATGGCCTGCCAAGCGGTGCCATGTCCGCACGCGGGATCAGAACCAGCGAACCCCGGGCCGCCGAGAAGTGAAATGTGCAAACTTAACCCCTGCACCACCGGGCTGGCCCCTCAGCCAATCACTTTAGATCGTTCATTTTATTAAACTTGATACTTGTTTCGTATATTCAGTCATTTACATATAATTGTATATGTATGTGTATGCATTAATGGATGTTTTCTGGTTTAAGTTTTGGAAAGCAAATGCTCAGTTTCATATATGTAAAGACATTTTTATGATAAAATTTAATGAAACTCATTTTATTTTGAAAAACTAAAAGGAGAATTTAGACATTTGAATTTGAACTTTGAATGAAATCCAAGTATCACATTTGCTCTGCTTCTTAAATCTCATCTTTATTAATCATGAACGTGGGTAAATCACTTTATTCTTGAAGACTGAGGATAACTTGCCTTTTTTATTTCCAATGAAAAAGATGCAGAAAATTGCCCGGTAAATACCTTACTTTAGAATTCTTTTCTTTATTTCTTTTTTCCCCAAATTGTCTTAATGATTTTTTCATTTTTTGAATACTTTTATAAATATTATCCAAGTTCATTTTCAAATATTTATTTGAATGTATTCAATCTAGATATGTGGCAGCAGTAATATTGTGGTGCAGAAGACTGGCGCAGACTAGTCAGAGAGAGCAGCCCAGACGTCCCTCATCTTCTATTCTTGAAGAAAATTGGTATTTATATATTTTTTAAACTCAATCTGTGTAGAAGAGCCAACTAATACTCAAATATTACAATGTCAAATGGTAAACTCGAAGGCTTTTTTCCCAAAAAACTTTCTCGTAGTTAAATATATTTAACTCCTATAATGTTTTTGATAGCTTAAGCTTGAAAATAATTTATCTTTAATCAGATACCTAATTTATTACATTTCATCATCTTCTATTTCCTCTGAATGTCAGAAGACTGCATTGAAAACTTCATATCAAAATGGGTGACTTTTAATGTGATAAATTCATCCTGAAAACTTTATGGAAAAATTTAAAGGAGTTTCTTTAAAATTTTAGTAATATTAAAGGAAATAAAATGTTGACTAACACAATAAGCTTTCAGAAAAAGTTGATTTTTAAATAATTTCTATTAATTATCTCCCAAAAATTAATTGGCAAATCAACAAGTAAAGCAAGTATTTTAGTCCCTCCTGTGTGCCTTTCACTGTGCAGGGGACTAGAACTGGGCTTCAAAGTGATAGTTAGGGAAATTAAGACATTTTAGGGAGGAAGCAAGGACAGAGGTCAAAAAAAAAAAGAAAAGAAAGGGTAAAGGATATTGTGACCTGTGGAGATAGTGAGAAGATAGTTTTTATGGAGCAGATGCCATTTGTTCAGGTGTAGTATGAGTTTTGACAGATAGGAATGGATTTCTAATCAATAGAGAAGTTCAGACTTGATGGAATTACAAGTTGCTAAATAGAAAAATGACAGGAAGCAAGATCATTAGAAAGGTTAGTATCACTGACAGTATAATCTCCAATGATATATTGGAAAAGAAGGATACCACGAACAATTTAGGAAGCTTTAACGTAAGTCGTGTCTTATTATAGCTTGGTGAAAAAAATACAAACATTAAGCCTGACTCTTATCACCTTTTCATTCCTAAGTTGCTTAGAGAAAGAGGTACAATCAGTAGGTGTTGTTTGAATAGTTCAGGTATCTTAAGGATCCAGCTTTCCAGATCCCTCATTCTTCAGCTACAGCTGTTTGGCAGCAGAAAAGTTGTCCAAGTAGCTATTGAAAAACATAGTTGGGAGGAAAGAGAAATTGCACATGGCTGTAAAATTGGTCACTTCATCATTGCTTCGCTGGCAGGGTTTGTAAAATGCCAGCCTTTTTATATGAAAGCTTAGAAGAAAATAACTGTCAGAATACACTAAAAAGTGAGAGTGAGAGAAGTGAAGACGGGTGAAAGCAGTTATGGGTGGAAGCAGAGAGACAGAGGGATTGAGGAGGAGTAGGGAGGGGAGATACAGCCGCTTGCAATTGCTCCATGCCCCTTGCAAAGCCTAAGACATCTCTATCTTGTCAAAAAGAGTATGTTGAAGGAGGAGAAGAGATTGTGCTATAAACAGCTACCTAAATTGTATTTCAGTATTTTTTTCAACTCACCTTCTATCATTAGCTTACTGATTCAACTTTTTAGTAGGGATGCTAGTCAAAAAATACTGCAGAAGACATTTCATAAGAAGATGGTTCATGGTATGAGCAACAGCATTAAAGGTAGTTTGTATTGTTGCTTACACCCAGAAAAATGAGTAAAAAAAAAAAGGTATTTTGCAGTGATGAACAATCAACAGGCCTTGGAGTAAGTCATATCCAAGTCTTTACCATGGATGCTTAAAATGATGAAAGATCTCTTTCATTCTCCGTGCATAGGCTGGAGTAAGAGTAAAGAGTGCAAGCTGACAAGTGCAAGAATGTGGTCCATTGTATAAAGCAGACAAGTCATCCTATTATGAACTGTGAAGAAGACCTTTCTAGTGACTTGAATAAAGAGATGTGTTAGACATTGATATCCTCATTAATTTTGTAGAGAGCTAGTCAAGTTACTCTAGTTTCTACTTGTGTGCCACTGCTCATATTTTCGTTCTAGCTTGATGAGGAAAAATACAAAGAACACACACATAAGAGGTTCTGCTGGAGTTGTATACATTCAGCCCTCTACCCCATACCAGTTGCTCCAATATCTGTTTCTGTGCAACATGGTAAGAGCTAATGTTCATATGTTAACCCTCTGAGTCAAGGAGAAGAGAATGTTTAGTATACTGTGCTTAATAAAATGATGAAATGAGTAGGTTGTCTATTCCAGAAGAAATTTAGTAGAAAATAGTTATGTTTTGACACCTAATTCAGCTGTGTAAAAACTTGGTCCTCCAAAACCATCCATTTTCTGAGAGTTCCATATAAATGAGGTCTTACTAGATGTGCACAGTACAGAAGAATAAGAAAAGATCCTTTCTACTGAAAGAGACCATCTAGGTATGAAGATCAGAAAATTAATTCAAGAGAGGACATTACAAATGAGTATATGATTAATTAACATAATGCTATAGGAATTCAAGGACGGAGAGAACACTTCTTTCACAGAAGTGATGGGATTTTAGTAGGTTTTTAAAGTTTGCGTAAACTTTGAGGAGGAAAGTAGAGGGTATGCCAGGTTAGTACTAAGAAGTTGTAGCAGGAAGGCCCATTACCTTCAGATCAATACTTGATTCAGAAGTCCTTGAGGCGGGGACTTTTATTCACTGGCCTTACTCATTAAAAGCACTCAATAAGGATCAGGATCAGTTGAGTCAAGTTGACTCGTTGCTAAATAAAGCCAATATAAAGGGAATTCTTAACTTCTAGGTTCTTCTGTCTAAAATTCTAAGCTTTATGAAAAAAAATCAAGTATGCCTATTTGAAATATTGTGGATATAAAGGACTCACTCAACCAGCATGAACTTACGTTTTTTTTGTGCACAGGTCTGTGGCGTCTGAACTTGAAAAGATACAGAAGTTTAACTGTATCCTTTGAACAGAATGTATTGTTCTGCATAATTACTCCCTTTCCAGTCTAGGCTTAATTCAAAACTCTGTATATTAATTCATACATGCATATTGTGGAGCTTTACTGAATAATGTTTATGATTGTAATTTAAGATGTATCTTGTCTATAGAAAGTACATCATGTTAACATTTATACTTTTCATTGAGTTTAAATTAGGCAAAGGACAGTGAGCTAGGGTTAAGGTCTCTGGAGACTTTTTCACTTATGTAATTATACTCTAACTTGTAACTGAGACCTATATTTGACTTGCTTTTCTTTTTTCCTTTTTTTTTTAAGGATTTTTGTTATTTTTTATTTTTTTAAATTTCAGCTTCATGAGGTATAATTGACAAACAAAATTATAAGATATTTAAAGTGTACATCATGTGACCTGACACACATATATATTATGAAAGGATTACCCTGTCTCATTAGTTAACACATCCATCACCTCACATATCCAGCCCTCCCCTTCCCTTTTCTTTTCGTGAGAACATCTGAATTCCACCCTCCCAGCAAACCTCAACCATACAACACAATGTTATCAGCTGTAGTCACCATGTTATACATTAAATCCTCAGACCTTATTCATCTTCTAGCTGAAGCTTCATACCCTTTTATCACCCTCTCCCTACTTCCCCCACAACGCCAGCTCTTGGCAACCACCATTCTGCTCTCTGTCTCTATGAGTTTGACTTTTTAAAAAATACCACATATAAGTTACATTGTGCAGTATTTGTCTTTCTCTGTCTGGCTTATTTCACTTAGCATAATGCCCTCAAGGTCCATCTCTGTTGTTGCAAATGGCAGGATTTCTTCTTACTCATGGCTATATACTATTCCATGGTGTGTGTATATGTGTATATATGTGGGTGTGTGTGTGTGTATATATGTATATCTTCTTTATCCCTTCATCCTTAAGGGACACTTAGGTTGTTTTCACATTTTGACTATTTTGAATAATGCCATGAACTTGGGAGTGCAGATCTCTCTTCAAAAGTCTGTTTGATTTCCTTTGGATATATACCCAGAAATGGGATTGCTGAATTACATGGTAGTTCTATTTTTAATTTTTTGAGGAACTTCCATACTGTTTCCCATAGTGGCTGTACTGGTTTACGTTTCCACCAAAGTACACAAGGGTTCTCTTTTCTCCACATCCTCGCCAACACTTGTATCTCTTGTCTTTTTGATGATAGGTATGAAGCTCAGAGCTGATATCTCATTGTGGTTTTGATTTGCATTTCCCTGATGATTGGGGATGTTGAGCACCTTTTCATATACCTGTTGGCCATTTGTATGTCTTTGGGAAAATGTCTATTCAGTACTTCTGCCCATTTTTAATCAGATTTTTTTTTTTTTGCTTTTGAGTTGTATGAGTTCTTTCTATATTTGTATATTAACCCCTCTTCACATATGATTTGAAAATATTTTCTTCCATTCCACAGGTTGCCTTTTCATTTCGTTGATGATTTCCTTTGCTATGCAGAAGATTTTTAGTTTGATATAGTCCCATTTGTTTATTTTTAATTTTGTTGCTTTTGCTTCTTGTGTGAAATCCAAAAAATTATTGCCAAGACTGATGTCAAGGAGCTTACTACCCACAACGTTTTCTTCTAGAGGTTTTGTGGTTTCAGGTCTTATGTTTAAGTCTTTAATCCATTTTAAGTTGATTTTTGTGTGTGCTGTAAGATAGGGTCCAGTTTTCCCAACACCATTTATTGAAAAGACTATCCTTTCCCCTTTGTATGTTCTTGGCTCCTTTGTTGTAACTTAATTGACCGTATATACATGAGTTTATTTCTGGGCTCTCTATTCTGTTCCATTGATGTATTTGTCTGGTTTTATGCCAATACCATACTGTTTTGATTACTCTAGCTTTGTAATATAGTTTGAATTAAGGATGCATGATGCCTCCAGCTTTGTTCTTCTTTCTCAGGATTGCTTTGGCTATTCTTTTGTAGTTCCATACATATTCTAGGATTGTTTGTTCTAGTTCTGTGAAAAATGCCATTGGAATTTTTATAGGGATTGCATTGAATCTGTAGATTGCTGTGGGTGGTATGGACATTTTAATAATATTTGTTCTTCCAGTCCATGAGTATGGAGTATCTTTCCATTTATTTCTATCTTTTTTAGTTTCTTTCTTCAGTGTCTTATAGTTTTCAGCGTGCAGATCTTTCACCTACTTGCTTAAATTTATTCCTAGGTATTTTATTCTTTTTTATGTAATTGTAAATGGGATTGTTTTCTTAATTTCTCTTCCTGATAGTTTGTTGTAGGTGTATAGAAGTGCAACTGATTTTTTAATACAGGCATACCCCAGAGATATTGTGGGTTTGGTTCCTGACCACTGCAATAAAGCAAATATTGCAATAAAGCAAGGCACGCAAAGTTTTTGGTTTCCTAAGTGCATATAAAAGTTAGGTTTGCACTTGGACCAGCTGGTGGTGTAGTGGTTAAGTTACACACTACACTTCAGCAGCCCAGGGTTTGCAGGGTTTGCACAGACCTATGCACTGCTTATCAAGCCATGCTGTGGCAGGCGTCCCACATATAAAATAGAGGAAGATGGGCACGGATGTTAGCTCAGGGCCAATCTCCCTCAGCAGAAAGAGGAGGATTGGCAGCAGATGTTAGCTCAGGGCTAATCTTCCTCAAAAAAAAAAAAAGGTTTACACAATACTATAGTCTGCTAAGTGTGCAATAGCATTATGTCTAAAAAACAATGTACATACCTTAATTAAAAAGTACTTTATTGCTAAAATATGCTAACCATCATCTGAGCCTTCAGCGAGTTGTAATCTTTTTGCTTGTGGAGGGTCTTGTACAAAATGCAGTTATCTGTGAAGTGCAGTAAAGTGACGCACAATAAAATGAGGTATGCCTGTATTGATTTTGTATCCTGCAACTTTACTGAATTTGGTTATTAGGTCTAACAGCTTTTTGGTGGAGTCTTTAGCATCTTCTATATATAACATCATGTCATCTGCAAATAGGGACACTTTTACTTCCTCCATTCCAATTTGTATGCCTTTTATTTCTTTTTCTTGCCTAATTGCTCTGGCTAGGACTTCGAGTACTATGTTGAATAAAAGTGGTGAAAAGGGGCATTCTTGTCTTATTCCTGATCTAAGAAGAAAAGCTTTTAGCTTTTCACCATTTAGTAGGATGTTAGCTGTCAGCTACTCATATATGGCCTTTGTTATGTTGAGGTACATTTCCTCTATACCTGGTTTGTTGAGAATTCTTCTGCATCTATTGACATGATTATATGATTTTTATTCTTCATTTTGTTAATGTGGTGTATCACATTGATTTTCATAGGTTGAAACTTCTTTGCATCCTTGGAATAAATCCCACTTCGTTGTGGTGTATGATTATTTTAATATATTGTTGAATTCCATTTGCTAATGTTCTGTTGAGGATTTTTGCATCTGTGTTCATCAGGGATATTGGTCTGTAATTTTCTTTTCTTGTAGTGTCCTTGTCCGGTTCTGGTTGTTAGGGTAATCCTTTGTAAAATGAATTTGGAAGTCTTCCCTCCTCTTCTGTTTTTTGGAAGAGTTTGAAAAGGATTGGTATTAATTTTTCTTTAAATGTTTGGTAGAATTGACCAGTGAAACCATCTGATCCTGGGCTCTTGTTTGTTGAGAGGTTTTTGATTAGTGATTCAATCTCCTTAACTGTAATTGGTCAGATTTTCTATTTCTTCATGATTCAGGCTCTCTAGGTTGTGTTTCTAGGAATTTACCCATTGCCTCTAGGTTGTCCAATTTGTTGGTGTATAATTGTACACAGTAATCTCTTATGATCCTTTGTATTGTGTGGTATCAGTTGTAATTTCTCCTCTTTCTTATTTTGAGTCCTCTCTTTTTTTCTTTTGGTAAGTCTAGCTAAAACTTTGTCTATTTTCTTTATCTTGGAAAAAAAAAACAGCTCTTTGTTTCATTTATCTTTTCTATTGTCTTTTTACATGTGCACAAGCTCCTTCCAGGGAGAGAGCTGGTAACCTGGAACAGGCCAGAGGGAGAATGTGGAGATGTCACCTGCCAGCCTCTGGGGAGAATTACACTCAGCTCCTAGATGTGTGCTAAATTAGAACCCTGACCCTCAGGCAGCAGCTTTTAAAGTATGCAGATAGGCCTCTTTTAGGGAAAGACTGGGAAATGAGTGTTTCTGTCTGCTCCCGCTGTGCTGAGTCCTGGGGGAGGGTCCCAGTGAGTCCTTGCAAACCCATTAAGAACTGTTTCTTTGTTAGCTATAGCTTGTGGGTCTCTTGGACACAAGCCCTGTTGGCTTTCAGAGGTAGGTGTCTTGGAGGCCCATCCCTCAGGTGGAAGTCTTAAAAGTTGGAGCATTAGATGTTGGATCCAAACCCTTTGCTCCTGAGGGAGAAGCTGGGAGTCGTGAATTCCCTCCTGATTGTATGTTGCTATGCTGGGGCTGGGGTTTATGGCGAGAGAGCATCTCAGCCTTTTCTACCTGTTTCAGTGTGGGTATTTTCTCATTTGCCAGATGTATAGAAGTTGCCCAGGTAGTTCCTGGATTTCTTTCAGAGGGAACTGCTTCACGTGTAGCTGTAGACTCGGTGTGTTTGTGGTAGGAGGTGAGTTCGGGAGCCCTCTATGTTGCCATCTTGTATAGGACCCTGACTTCTTTTTCTTATGAAACCTTTGTTCTGTGCATTCCCACCCATTCATCTAAATTTCTTTTATCTTGTGATTTTTCTGTAATCCTATTCATATAATAAAGTAGCTCTGCAACAGAGGACAGGTTTTTCACTCTAGATCTTTTTTAAGTTAAAAAATAACTACACAGATTGTTTATAGTCCTATCACCCCTACTTTTGTTCCCTTTTATTCCTGCTTTACTTCTTCACTTAAACGTTACTGAGATTTTCTTTTATTTCCTCCCTGTCACCAAACCTCTATCCAAGCACACACACGTACATCCTCTTTCCTTTCCCCCTCTTATGCTGTAACCATTTCTTCATCTATAAGGGTAAACTTGATAAGTGCTGAAGTCCCAATTCTATTAGGAATCCAAGAGATCTTCCTTCCAATGGAAAAATATTTTAATATGAAGGCCAGGCTTTCTGAAATTAAAAATACTTATATAATAAAAAATGTGGGGGAACGATCCTTAATTAAGCAACTTAGTGTTATTGGAGAATAGTGGTATCCTAAACCAGACTGCTAAGAAGAAAAATGAACAGTCTTCTGATCAGTATGAACCAAAATCTTCAGAAACCGTGCTAGAAGTTAATGAAAACAGAGTATTGGCAGCATTGAAAAAAACCTCTGAAATCCTTCAGGATATTGACTGTCTTCTATCAAACTCTAAAAAGTGAAAATGGAATTATTACAATATATTATTAAACCTTAAGGATGTTGTTTCAAGTAACTGGTACAAAGTTACTAGTAAGCCAAGAAGTTGTATATATTACTTCTGTACAATGATTATATGATAAATGGCATTTAACTTGGGAGATCTTTTACCTAACTTGTAAATTTTAAAATATTTATTTATAATATACGTTATTAATAAAGAACTTTTGAAATTCTGTACAATTTATTTCAGATTTATGAGAAAAAAATTTATAAAATTATAATTGCTGTTTTATCTTGTAGAGCATTCATTATTAATCTTCAAGATTTTTTTTTCATTTTTTTTAATAGGCAGAATTGTGTGCATTTGGTCATTTGGTACTTAGTCTCTCTATTCCAAGCATTTTTCAATAGACCTATAAGAAGAGAATTAGATCTTAAGAAAAAAAGAAAACTTAATGTAGGTAATGCTGCTTCAAGCTAAGAATCGAGCCCTTCAGCAAAGACTAAATAGTATCTGAAGTGTCTCATGAACCAGATATTTTCACTTCTTTTGAACATCTGAAAATATTTATACTACAAAGTATGCGAAAAGAAAAGAGGAATGAGCTCACCAAAAGTCCTATTTATTACAACCTTGTCTATTGGGAAGGAACAAAACCACACACCTAAAAAGACCTCAAGATTATACCAATATAGCCAGAAATGTTCTAATTATCTTCTGATTTCTCGAAAAGATCAGGCTCTTCACATAAAAGGGAAAAAGCACCAGAGGAAACAAGGAGAAAAAGGAAGAAAGCAGGCAAAGCCTAGTAGATTAGAAGAGACAATGTCAGCGCACAATGTTCTCTCAGCTCCTCACGCTGGGCTCCTTGCCACCTTCAGGGCTCAGCACAAGTATCACTTCTTCAGAGGGGCCTCCCTGACCGCCCTATGTAAGTTGGCCTCTCAGTTATCCTCTATTACGTCACCCTATTTATTTCCTTTACAGCACCTATAACAATCATCCAACTTGTTTGGCTCTTGTTTGGTCTATATCCTCTACTACAACTTGAGCTCCATAAAGTCATTCTGTAACCTTGTTACCAAGCATAACACCTGGCACACTGAGAGCACTCAGCGTGTGTTGTATAAATGAACCAGTGCCTCGAGGCAGTAGATTGACCACGGAGAAAAGAGCCCTAACAATTTTGTTGTTTTGGTTGCAAGAAGCCACCTATGTCTGTCCCTCAACAGCTCTAGAAAGCCTAGACTATAAGACATGTACATGCTGCCGTAAGGGTAATGCCAAATTGTTACTGCACTCAGACAGAAACCTGTCCTTAACATGACTAAAAGCACCCAATATTGTGGTTAATCTATTTGGTCATATTTTTAAGTAGCTTTTAAAATGTTAAAATGTGTGTAATTTTCCCCTTCAGTTGAGTCATTTCTATTAGCTAAGAACCAGGAGTGTGACAAGCAATGAAAAGTTCTATCAGTGAGAAACTGAGCCACACTTTAAGGTTCTGTGTGAGACCTAGGAATTTGCTTGAGACTGAAGATTCCAATTTTCTACTATATAATTCTGCTTCAACTATGTAATTCATATAATTCCACTGCTGCTCTTGCTTTCCATCTGACACTTGTTTTGAGAAATCGTAGGTAGGAAGGAGAAAGAAATGTCCCTCTTTGAGCCTGTTCTTTGGGGCTAGTGCTTCGTAAAGCCAAATGTCAAGCTAGACATCTCCACGCTGAGAGCACCCACCACTCCAAGGCAGGGGGCCGGGATGGGACCTGACCATAGTCCCAGTAAACAAGCTGCATCTTGTGAGTCCAGTTAATTAGGGTCAAGCTACCCTTTATGCAATTGCTTTTTCGACTCCTGAGCGTTTAGTATCATGATTAAGTGTTCCAGCCATGTCACCGCTATCCACAAGAAAGGAGCCCACAACGTCGGCCTGCGTAGTGGCAAAGAACGATTAGTAAAAAATCCCCAAGGGGGCGGTGAAGCGCTACGGCGGAGCGTCTGGTCCACGAGGTCGCGCGGTCCCTCGGTCTTGTGGAAAGCTCTCTCCGACGCCCACCTTGAAGGATCCATTAAAGGCAGTCGGAAATATCTACACCTTCGGGACCCACGCCGGCTCGCGGCTCCCAGCTCAACGGTCTGGGAAGAAGGCCTGCGCATCCGACACTGGTGAGGACACTTCCGCGTCCCCAGCTTCCCGGCCGCCACTTGGGTGCACTGTGGGTATGTCGGCGGCTACCTCTGTGGCACGGCGCCGGCGAAGCCGAGAACGAATCCTCTGGTTTGACACAAGGGAACCAACAAGGCACTTGTCACTTCTCACCCCGTCGTCCCAAAGTCTCCCCTTTTAGGGCAGGCCGGGAGAGAACTCGTAGTACCCCGTGGCTCGAACAAGGAGCACTGAACTATCGGTTTCCTTCGGCTCAGAATGGGGCCAGTATCCCGGCTTCCTCTCGGCCGGCTTTGTGGGCTGGAGCCCTTCTGGCCGGCGGGCGGCATCTCTATGGTGCCGACCGAGAGTAGGAGGAGAGGGGCGGGGCTACCGTTCGCTGGGCTACCGTTGGCGGGGCCCGTTTCACCCGCGAAAGCCAAGGGTGGGTGCGGCTGAGCTGCTGCGAGGTCTGGGCGGGAGTGGGTGGGACGGACGCCGCAAAACTGGCTCCTGAAGTGGGAGGTCGGAGGTGGAGACCGCTTGAGCCCGAAGTCTGGAAGATCTAGCCTCCAGATGTAGAGGGCTTGCGGGGCTGGCAGGCGCGCGGACCCCAGAGCAAGTGAGGCGTGCGACGCCCCGGCGCCGCCCCCCGCTCGGTCGCGCCTTCTGGACCCCGTAGGCGCCCCGCCCTCGCCTAGGCTCCGCCACCCGGCGTTTCCCTGGCCTGGGCTGGAGTGCTGGGGGCCTTGGGGGGAGCCCGTTGCCGTCCTTACTAGTCTTGAGAGCCCGTCTGCCCCGCGGGTTCTGGAGGCGTGAACACTCTAAGTGTGACGTGGCCCTTTCCCTGCGTAGGAAATGTTTGGTTCCTATGGTGCCAGGGCTTCCTGCCCTATTTTCTTAACCGATATTTTAATAATCATTGCATCATACCGACCTTAAGAAAGAATGACTTTGGGAATTTGCTGAGACTTGAAACATGTTGAAATCCAGCATTGTATGTTTTATTCGTAATGGTCATAGGAACTAAAGGTTTTATATGCAGGCTGTAACAGGTTTCCGTGAGAGTGAACCGCATTTGTGTTTCCTTCCTTTGCAAATTAGTTGTACTAGATTTGGCATCTACTTTAGGTATTATAACATTAAAAGATGTGTATACATATATATTAACTTTCGCGGCAACTGCAGTTCAGTGAAAAGGACTTGTAAAGCATGCTACAGGCAGTTATCGGATTTGCTTTTACTTCAGGTTTTTGTAAATATTTGCAGAGCGGCGGTATTGGGCAGGGCTGAAGCAGAAGATGACGTTGAATTTTTTAGCTCTTGTTTTGGCAGAAATAATTCTAAGAGATTATTAACAGACAATGCACAATAGTGTATAAGTAAAGTAACTGGCTAATTATATGTTTGTGGAGTTAAGGAAAGGGATGACTACTATGTTTACTTTGAAAGCACCATAGTTGATGGCATTTTACTATAATGGGGATCGGGAGGTGGCAGAGTTTGGCCGTTGTAGAAAGTGGCTCCTGCAAGTCAGAGAGAAATTTATGATCTGGGTAACTTACGGGAGAGAAGTCATCCCAAATAATATCTTTAGTTATAGGCTGAGGATTGCTTACCCCTTGTATTAGGATAATGAAATATTTACTAAACACCTTGAGCACATTAGATTTTAGGCATGATAGGGTTAAAAGATTATAATTACTACTCTTAAGAAACCTGGCCAACAAAAGTGAATATGTAAAATAAATATAAAGCTATTTTACAGTTTAGGAGGTTCTGGAGTCCGTTCTATTTGTAGTGGGAGGAGCAGAAGGTGGAAAAAGACAGCGGTAAGGGGAAAAGAATGGGCACACTTAGGTGTCCTACTCAGAGACAATAACTAAGAGGAAGTACACTTCTTAAATTTCTTTCTCATGTTCAGAATTTGATCCAGAGATGTGAAATATCTGCACCAATGATAGGAGTGGAATAGACGTCTGAATTGTGTGTTTCTGGGACCATAAATATACCTTTCTAAAAAACAGAAACATACTGTTTTAGTTATCTGTTGCTGCATAACAAATTACTCCAAAACTTAGAGGCTGGAGACAGTGAACAGTTATTATCTCACTGAGTCTGTGAGCCAGGACTTCGGAAAAGGCTTAACTGAGTGATTCTGGCCCAGAGTCTCATGATGTTACAGTCTTGATATTGGCAGGGCTGCAGGCATCTCAAGGCTTCACTGGGCTGAAGGATCTACTTCCAGGTTCACTCATGTGAGATTTTTGTTCCTCTTTCCTCAAGTAGGCTGAGTTTTTTGGGTTTTTTTGTTTTTTGAGGAAGTTTAGCCTTAAGCTAACATCTGCTGCCAATCCTCCCCTTTTTGCTGAGGAAGACTGGCCGTGAGCCAACATCCATGCCCATCTCCCTCTACTTTGTATGTAGGACACCTGCCACAGCGTGGCTTGACAAGTGGTGCGGAGGTCCACACCCGGATCAGAACCAGCAAACCCGGGCTGCCAAAGCGGAATGTGTGAACTTAACCACTGCACCACCCGGCCAGCCCCACGCAGGCTGTTTTATACTTTCCATTTATAAAATGCGTTTTGCACTCCCTCATTATTTTCATGTTCTGATCGTAAGCCACAATACAGTTATTTTGTAAACAATACTTTTTTTTCACATACTTTGAATTTGGGTCATCATTTAAATACTTGATCTTTTGATGTTTCACTTTGCTTTATTAGTCACCTGATCTTTTTAGAACCTAAACTCATGTAAAATATAAGGTTGGAAACATTTAAATATGTTTTGTGATTATAAAAATTGTTTCATGAGTAAAAGAAGATGGATGTAATGCACTGGCTTTATAGAAATATCATGCAATTTGCAATTAAGTGGATGGATGATGACATTTTATTTTTGTCTGCTTTCTGGGATAAAATATGAAAATATAATTTCAATTAAATGCAAATAGAAGCATATTTTGAGTGGCAGCAGAGTTTTTCTGTTAGGGTTCTGTGTAGTCTGTGCCCAGCCTACATTCTCCTCACGCTTATCCACCCGAATGGCCTTCTTTCTCCTTTGGGCTAACTGACAGGCCTCAGTTTACCGAAGGAGGGGAATATTGCTGCTGCTGCTGCAGCCGCCGCCGCCCCACTTCTCTAGCTTGGTCATTAATTCAAGCTTTCTGTGTCCCGGTTCCTATCCAGCTAAGTGGATAATGGCGTTTGTCTTTGGTTCAAAGGGATACTTTATAAAGTTTATATTACTAAACCTTTAAAGACTGACTTCTTTATTCATTCAAATGTCTGTTTTGTAAAGTAGAGACAAATGATTCATAATTTGTGGGACTATAAATCCTGAGGTTTATAGAAAGGATTTATGACTTTGAAGGTATCTTTTGCATTTTGGTCCTATTTCTTGTTTGAAATTACCTTGAAATCATTATTTCCTCATCCGGGAAGTATCTATAGACTATAACCCAATCTTAGTGCTTTAGAGAACAATTTTCATTATTGCAAATGAGCAAGAATTTGAAGATTGTCTTAGACTCCCTTATCATTAACAAAATAGTTGTTCTCTGCAAAGCAAGTTTGCTTCACATTAATTTGAAATAATTAAAGGAACCTACATAAGTTTATTTCCTCTGGAGATACAAAACTCTTTTGTGCAGACTTTTCATGTGTCAACTGATACATAAATATGAACAAATTATTTTTATATTACACAATTGACATGAAAATTATATACAAGCTATGTTATATATTCTAATATTTTCATTAGTACCTATTTATAATGTTATAAATATGTTTCTACATTATTTTTAAATTATACTTTTAAGAAGCTGACTTTAGTATTATGGTCTGAGTTGCTTAATTACTTCTGACTTTAACTTTTTATTGGTTTTGTGATCATAACAGTAAGACATTGAAAATTTTTAGGAAATCAAAGAAAGTAAAAAGAGTAATGATCACATGTAAGCCCACCAGTGGGAGACAAGCCAAATGAACAGCCTTCCAGATTTTTCCTATGTATATGTACATATTTTTAACAAAAATGTAATATTTTACATAGTATTTTATTGGCTGCCTTTTATATTTTAATATCTATTGAGCATATCTTCATGTCAATAAATACGGAAATAAGTATTTTTTTAATGAATGCATAATTGTATGGAATTTCTTTCACTAGTCCCATATTTTGAACATACAGTTTCTAATTTTTCCCTGTTATAAACAATGCTGAACATCCATGTGTAACTCTTTATATTTATCTAATTATTTTCTTAGTATGAATTCCTAGAATTGGAAATGCTGAGTCCAAAAGTGCCTGTCTTAAATCATTTTTGATACGTATCGTCAAATTGTCCACTAGAAAATTTATGCTAATGTAAACTCCTGTTAATACTCTATAAGAATGATCATTTCTCCACCACTACTAAGAGAAAGCATTAGCAATCTTTTGTCAGTCTCACATTGAAGTCTCATTGTTTTAATTTAAATTCAGTTGATTGCTAATAAAGTTGAAGTCTTTTAATAATTTTTTTGACCATTTGTATTTCTTCCTTTTTCAAATTGCCTTTTCATAGACATTGCCCAGTTTATTGCTGAGATACTTATTTTTTCTTCTTAGTAATTTTAAGACCCCAATAAAGTAAGGCTTCTAATCTTTCTTCATCATAAATTCTATTTCCTCCATTTATTTGTCTTTAACTTTGCCAAGCAGAAGTTTTAGATTTTTATGTAGTCATGTCTATCAATATTTGAAAAATAATTTTTAGCTCCTCTCTAAAAGTCTAGCTAGCTGACCTATGTAGAAGTTTATTTACAAATTCACATAAATATCCCGAATTTGATAACCAAGCTGATACAAAAGCTATCGAACCTTGGAAAATTTCCGTGCCACTAGTCAACAAAACTGATTCCCTTTCTTAATTTAACCAGAGAAATGGTCTATATTGCAAAACCCTAATCCATGTGAATGCGACATTTTAAAATCAAAAGTTGTTTGATTGAACAACTTCACTGTATAAAAC